AGGAATTCGAAATGAGCATGATGGGGGAACTAAAGTTCTTTTTTGGATTTCAAATCAAACAAACTAATAAAAACATCTTCATTAGCCAAACAATATACATCATAGACATGCTCAAGACATTCGAATTTGAAGACTTGAAACCAATGAATACTCCAATGAGTACATCAATCGAATTGGATAAATATGAGAACGGCACTTCAGTTGACGTAACAAAATACCGAGGTATGATCGGATCTCTTCTTTACTTAACAGCTAGTAGACCCGATATAATGTTTAGTGTTTGCTTATGTGCTAGATTTCAATCAAATCCTAAAGAATCACATTTAAGTACCTTAAAACGAATTTTTAGATATTATGTGGTACTAGAACATTGGGCCTTTGGTATCCAAAAGGCACGCACATTGACCTTATTAGCTATTCGGATGCCGATTGGGCGGGTTGCACGATTGATCGAAACAGCACAAGCGGAACTTGTCACTTTTTAGGCTTTGCCCTTGTGTCGTGGTTTAGCAAGAAACAAAATTCCGTTGTACTATCAACCGCCGAACCNACTTTCAACCACCGAAACCGAAATACATATCGGCCGCTAGTTGTTTTGCAAGTTTTTTGGATGAAACAAACTCTTAGTGATTATCACTTAACATTTGAAAATACTCCTATTATGTGTGATAACACTAGTGCTATAAATTTGCCAAAAAATCCCATTTTACACTCTCGTACAAAACACATCGAAATTCAACATCATTTTCTTAGAGATCATGTGCAAAAAGGTGATATTTATTTGAAATTTGTAAGTACCGAAAAAGAGTTGGCTGACATTCTTACCAAACCTCAAACTCTCGATAGATTTTCTTACATTCATAAAGGCTTAGGTATTATCGATGAATCTGAGATTTGTGATTAAATGTGTTTAAAATGAAAAATTGCATTCATTATATTTCGGTTGACCATTTCATAACTTCAGTCGACCGAATTTGATCTACCGAAACAAACAGAGGCGCTCAAAACTCTCTCTTTTTTTTTTCTCTTCAGATTTTCGGTCGATATTTCGCGAATTTCGGTCTACCGAAAGATAAGTCACCGAAAATTCCTTAGAAATTTCGGTCGATTGAAAATTCTCGGTCGACTGAAAATCCTTGATTCAGTCATTTTTCTTCTTTTTTGACGTTTTGTCTTCCCCAGAACTTATCTTTTCCAAACTAGAATTTCATCCCTAAGGTGTGATTTTTCTCATCTTTCTCTCTTCAAATCTCACAACTTTCATCTTCCACATCAAAATCACTTCAACTTTTCATCAAATCTATCAAATTCATCACACTTTTTTCATAAAATTTCAAGATTTTCTTCTATTTTTCATCAAGAA